AATGATGGATATAAATTAAAACACTTTTGAAAGAAGAATTACAATTTTTATTTTAATGAAAGATAATATTCAATTTTCTATTTTCAGCAAATACTGATTTGAGGCTTTCTAATTTCATAGATCATTTTAATCAACTTAAGATACCTGTTGGATTTGATGTAATTGGAGTTGTCAAATTAGGACTTTCCACAGAAATCAACGTAACATCATCGTTACTAAAATGATAAAATTAAAAAAACAAAAATAAACTAAACATGCATCATCAGGCTGAAACATGCAGTCAATGGTTAGAATTCTTCTGACTTAACATTTCATAACTGACACGTTTTAATCTAACAATTGTGGTGGGGAACTGGAGATAAAACCAAATACTCAAGAAACCCGTATGTTGCCAGTTACATGACCAAAAGTGTCCAATAACGGATCCTTAAAACTTACTAGAGACCCATTTACAATGAATCCAAATACATAACCTATAAGCATACAATATACATAAATGTACAAAATATAAAAAAGTCACCAAGGCAAGTACATATGCTTGCCTTGATGAAAATGAAAAGTATAATTGAAAAAAACCCCAGTAAGATACTTTGACTCTTACAGCTATAGGACTATGACAAATAAGGCTATTAAAAAATTAGTCCTGCCACGATTCTACATTATATCACTATAGTAGAAATACTGACCACACATTTACTAAACTAAGAGAGATGGTAAATGACGCTCATTACGGTTATTGCTCCCATTTGACCCTGACTCCACTTTCATGAGTTTGATATTTAAATCAGAATCTTTAAGATCGTAACACAAATTTCAATAAGCCCATAAAAATTGCTATGCATAGTTATACCACTTTCTTACAGATGTTTTTAAGTTTTAGCTTTTGTACTTAGGTCTATGATGCATTTCAAATTATTTTTGTATATGGTGTGAGGTAAGAGAAGAGGTTCACTTTTCCCCTCTGGCTATTCCTGCAATAGCTGCTGACTATCTTTTCTCCAATAAATTACCTTGGCCTCTTTGTTGAAAACCAATGGACAATATATAATAGTCTCTAATCTGGCCACCAATTTATAGGTTAATTCTAAGACAACACCATTGTCTTAATTACTATAACTTTATAGAAGTCTTAAACTTAGTGTATGTCTTCCAACTTTGTTCTTCTAACACTGCTTTCATCGTCTAGGTCTTTTGCATTTCACTAAGTTTTCAATCAGCTTGTTACTTTCCACAAAAAAGGCTGCCAGGATTTTGATTGCGATTGCATTAAATGTAAAGAATGATTTGGGTGAAGTGACATTAATAATGAATTTTCCCATATACTTACTGTCCCTAACCAACCTCTCCACCCACGCCTCCCCACCAAAATCCTATAGCACAGTGGTATGCTTGTTACAAAGGATAAACCTACACTGACACATGATTATCATGATCAAAGTCCATAGTATGATAGAGTTCACTCTTACTGGTATACATTCCACACATTTTGACAAATATATAATGATACATATCCATCATTACAGTAGCATACAGAATAGTTTCACTGCCCTAAAAATCCCTGAGCTCTGCCTATTCATCCCTCCTCATTAGCTCCTGGCAGTATTTGATCTTTTTACTGTCTTCATTGTTTCACCTTTTCTAGTATGTAATGTAGTTAGAATCATACAGTATACAACCTTCTCAGACTAACTTCTTTCAATTAGTAATATGCATTTAAGTTTCCTCTGTGTTTTTTCATAGCTTGAAGGCTCATTTCTTTTTTAGTAACGTCCATTGTCTGAGTGTAATGATTTATTTATCCATTCACCTACTGAAGGACATTTTAGTTGCATCCACATTCTGGCAATTATGAATAAAACTGCATTGTATATGATTCTATTTTCTCTCCTTTCTTAGCCTATCAATTATACTTCTTTCTTAGGTGGTTCCCTTAAAGTCTCCAATATATATTTACAACTAATCCAAGTCCACTTTCAAATAATACTATACTCCTTTACAAGTAGTGGAACTACCTTACAATAACAAAATATTCCTAATTTCTCCTACCTGTTCCTTATGTCATTGCTGTTATTCATTTAAACACACACACACACACACACACACACACACACACACACACACACACACATAAATACACTGTTGCTATTATTTTGAACTACTGTCAAATCAATTAATAAGAGAAATAAATTTCTATTTTACTTTCACTCATTCCTTCTCCAAAGATCTTGTGTGTAGATCTGATTTTCTGGCTTATTTTCCTTCTTTGTGAAGAATTTTTAACACTTCTTAGAAGGCAGGTCTACAGGCAACAAATACCCTAAATTTTTGTTTGAGAAAGTCTGTTATTTCTCCTTCACTTTTGAAGGACAGTGTCACAGTACAGAATTTTAAGCTGGTGGTTTTGTTCTCTGAATACTTTAAAATATTTCACTCCACCCTCGTCTTGCTTGCATAGTTTCTAAGGAGACGTTGGATGCAGTTCTCATCTTTGCTCCACTATGGGCAAGATGTTTTTTCCTCTGGCTTCTTTCAAGATTTTATCTCTGATTTTCTGAATTTTAAATATTATATGCTTAAATGTAGTTTTTTGGTATTTATCCTGCTTAGTGTTCTCTGAGCTTGGTATTTAACATTAATTTGGGGGAAATTCTTAGTCATTATGGCTTCAAACACTGTTTTTGTTCCTTTTTCTCTGCACACCCCCTCCCTTACCCTTCTGGTGTTCCCATTATGCTTAGGTTATTCCCTTTGTAGTTTGTCCCACATTCTTGGATATTTTTGTTGTTGTCTTTTCTTCTCTTTACTTTTCTGTTTTGAAGTTCCTATTGTCAGACTCTCAAGCTCAGTGATCCTTTCGTCAGAGGTATCTAATCTACCAATAAGTCCATCAAAGTCATTCTTCATTGTTAGTTTTGATCTCAAGCATTTCCATTTCTCTGCTTATTTATTCACCTGTTTCTGCATTTTTTCTACTTTTTTTCACTGAAGCCCTTAGCAAATAGTTTTTCAAAATTCCTGGTCTGGTAAGTTAAACATTTCTGTCATAGCTGACTCTGCTTCTGATGCTTGTTTAGTCTCTTCAAATCATGTTTCTTGCCTTTTATTTAGTATGTCTTGTGATTTTTTTGTTGAATGGTGGACCCGATGTACTGGATAAAAGGACCTATGATAAACAGGCCTTTGGTAATGCAGTGGTTCTACTAATCCTATGATTAGCTCTCAGTCTTTTAAGTAAGTCTATGCCCCTGGAGTGTGAACTTCACTAGCACTTCTTAGTCACCCACCCCCTTTAGGTGGGACAGATGGCTGGAGCAGCTAGAGTTGGGTATTCACTTCCTCCATATGGAAAGCTAGAGGGAGCAGGAGTTGGGGATTTCATTCCCCCAGGTAGTTAAGTTCTAGTAGTAGTTTCTCCCTAGGACAGGCCTTGTTAAGAACAGAGTGGTCTGGTATATTTCAAAAGGTTCCTTTTGCCAACTGGCTGCTGCAAGCATGAAGGGATTTTTCTTCAATATTCACTGTCAGGACCTGGTAGAGCTCTTGGAGGTAAAACACAAAATTATGGGCCTCGCCCTGGAGTTTTTAACTCTTGATTTATCTATTCTGAACCTCCAGCAATTAGTTTACGTTTTCCTAAACTGGCATTGGTTCCCATGGAAGCTTCTGCTTCTGGGTTTCTGCTCCAGTTCCCAAATGTTGTGATTACCATTTCTGCCCATTTGTTGCTCCAATTTTGGGGGCAGTATTTTGTTCTGTGACCATACTTCTCTAATGGATCTAAGAAGAGGTGTTTATTTTTTCCAGTTTATTGAGCTTTTTACTTGTTAGCATGGAGTGATAACTCCTTATGTGCTAGATCACAAATCTGAAATCTACTTTGTAGTTCTGAAGTTAGGTCTTACAGATATTTTGGTAATCTTATCACTTTGTATATCATGTTCTTTGACATACTGTAAATAGTATTGATTTGAAATTTGAAATTCCAACTGTTTGTTGCCTGTATACAGAAACACCATAAATGGTATAATTTATATTATACATACACACATATATATATACCTACCACATAATATAGAGGAACAGTATGATATATACACACATATATACCCTATATAGAAGCACAGAAAAATATTTTATATTACCCACATATTTAAAATATCCAGTACTCTTCATCTCTTCACCTTTGCATAGATCCAAATTTCCATCTGGTTTTATTTTCCTTCTGCCTATAAAATTTCCTTTAACATTTTCTGCAGTGCAGGTCCACTGCTGATGTATTCTCCACAGCCCCCCCCCCCAGCTTTTTTTTGTGTGCAAATTTCTGTTTTCCCCTAATACCTGAAAGATATTTTCACACAGTGTAGAAATTTTAATGGGTAGTTTTTCTTTCAACATTTTAGAGATGTCTTCTGCATTTCAAAACTTTAGAGATGTCTTTTAGTTTACATAATGCACAGCAAGAGGTCTCCTGATCTTTTTTGTTCCTTTCTATGTAATGAGTCTTTTCTCTCTGGCTGCTTTTAGATTATGATGTGGTTTTCCTTTATGCTTCTCAACTGTTTTTTTTTTTTTTAATATTTCTGGGTTTTGAATTTTCACCAAATTTGGAAAAATTTTAGATGTTACATCTTTCCTCCCTCCCCCTGCCCCCAGCCTGGTGAAACTTCAATGATATATATATTAGACTGCTTGATACTGTTCCAAAGGTCTCTGATGCTCTGTTCATCTTCTTTGTTAAGTCTTTTTTCTTCCCATGCCTTTGTTTGAACAGTTTCTATTGTTATTCCACTGTCTTTTTTAAAATCAATAATTATTTTGTTGTTAATCCTAATCAATGTACTTTTCATACTTCAGTTATTATCTTTTTCATTTCTAGTTCAACTTGGGTTTTTTTTAACATCTGCCATTTTCACATTTTCCTTTATATTGTTGGGACATGAACACTAAATTGATAATAGCTGTTTTATGTTGTTGTTGTCCATCAAACATATTGTTTCTAGGTCTGTTTCTAGCATTTCGGTCTTCTCCTTGCTATGAATTATATTTTTTGCTACTTTGCATGTCTGGTAATTTTTGATTAGATGTCAGACATTGTAGAATTCACACTGTTGAATGATGGATGTTTCATTCTTTCAAAGGGTGCTGGACCATGGGTGCCTGGGTGGTTCAGTCAGTTAAGTGTCTACCTTTGGCTCAGGTCATGATCTCAGGGTCTTAGGATCAAGCCCTGCAGATTCTGCAGATCATCAGAGCTCTATCTTTATACGATTTGCTTTCTTCATTGTTCTGCCTCACAAATTCTAGCCAACTCAGACTCCCCAGTCTCTGATGTATATGTAGCAAGACCTCTAGAGGCTGTTTGGGCTCCTCCTGACTCTGCCCTTTACCTGCAAAATGCCTCCAGGCAGTAAGCTTGAACAATGGTAGGGTACATTTCACCTGTTTCCCTCTCCCAGGGAGATTGCTCCCTGTTGAACAATGTCTGCACACAATTCTTTTTCTTTTTTAGTTTGGTTTTCTGCTTGTTGACAACAAAAGAACAATTCCTGTAGCAATTAATACTTCATGGGCAGAAGCAGACATTTCCTACACATTCCTTTTAGTTTTGTGAAATCAACTGGTTTTCATGCACATTTTAGAACAGATTTAATTCAATAGTTTTTCCCAAATTTATCAATAAGAGATTCTAACAGCCATTCTTTCTAAGTTCAGTAAACAAAAACAAATGTTCAGATCTAAATTTGATCAAGAATATTTCATTCTTCTGTTTTTGGTCTCTAACAAAACTTAGAAAGTTTATTTTGTATATATTTTTTTCTCCTAGTAATAGTCATCATAGATTGATAACTATATTTATTTTATTGCTTAACCATAAACAATTCTTTTCAGATGTTCATACACTAGAGTCAAAATCTCTTATCAATCTCAAAATTCTTCATTTAACATTTCTAAAATATTTCTAATTTTTTGTTTTTAAAAAGTTTATGTATTTAAGTAACCTCTACCCCCAAGGTGGGGCTCGAACTCATGACTCCAAGATCAAGAGTCACATGCTCCTCCAACTGAGCCAACTAGGTGACCAACCAGGTGTCCCCATATTTCTAATATTTTAAGTATTTCTCCTTGCTGCCATAGTACATCAAATATAGTGTTATTTAGGAGTTTAAGAAACCTAGCAGAAAGACTTTAAAAAGCAGAGTGGAATTTCTGGCTTTCTCACTGGGCTGGGGTGGTGAAGATTACAATTTGGGTCCCACCAAGGTGGAGGGACCCTAGTGAACACTCCAAGCTCTCAGCTGGGAATCCAGAGAGGTCTATGTCTAAAAAGCCACAGTGAACTAACCAGAGGTAGAAGGACCTGACCACATTAACAAGCCTCAATTTATACCATTCCCTGAGTAGATTAGGTGACCAGGTCCTACTCAGCCAGAGAGAACAAACCTTGTGTACAGTTAGATGATATTATTCCAGAGCCTCACCAATTTTTCAGAAATTATCAAGCGTGCCAAAAGACAGAACCAAATGACCAGAAACTGACAAAAACAACAGAAACAGCTATATAGATGATCCAGATGCTGGGGTTACAAAACAAGGACACTAAAAGAATTATGATTAATACTTTTAAGAATATTGAGGAAAGATGGATATAGTTAAAACCAGATGGAACACTGATCAGAAAAGTAGAAACTATGAAAAAAAGGCTATAATGAAATTAAGAAGTCAATTCATATAAAGACACTATTACAAAAGTGGAAAGACTTGGAGTGGAAAAAGATATTTATAGTAAACATATCTAACAAAAAAACTTACGACAGGCAACTCAAAGGGAAAACATGCAAAAGTCTTAAGAGAAACTTCATAAAAGGTATCAAAATGGCTACCTAGGGGCGCCTGGGTGGCTCAGTCATTAAGCGTCTGCCTTCGGCTCAGGTCATGATCCCAGGGTCCTGGGATCGAGCCCCACATCGGGCTCCCTCCTCTGGGGGAAGCCTGCTTCTCCCTCTCCCACTCCCCCTGCTTGTGTTCCCTCTCTCGCTGTGTCTCTCTCTGTTAAATAAATAAATAAAATCTTTAAAAAAACAAACAAAAAACAAAATGGCTAACTAACATAAAAATGTGCTTAACTACATTAGTAGGAAATACAAATTAAAACCAAGACATGCTATAAACATACCAGTGTAGCTAAAGCAAAAAAGGCAGGTATTATCAAGTAATGGCAAGGATATGGAAGAACAAAAACCTCATTATACTTCCTAATGGGAATGTAGCTTTGCTATGACCTCCCCGGGAAAGTGTTTGGTAATATCTATTAAACCTGAAAATACATATACTCTATGACCTACCAATTCCATTTACAGGCAAATATCCAACAGAAATGTATGTACATTCACCAAAAGACATAAAAAGGAATGTTCAAAGCAGCACTACTCATAATCTCCCCAATGTGCAAACAACCCGGATGCCCATTAACAGTTGTGAATAAGTAAACTGAGGTATATTCGTGTGATGAGCACTATATAGCAACAAGAATGAATAAACTATTGCTGCTAAGCAACAGCATAGATGGACCTCACAACACATAATGTTGGGCAAAAGAGGCAAGACAACAAAGAGTTCACTAAGTATGACCCCATTTATATAAACGTGAAAACCAAACAAAAACAACTTATGGTGTTAAAAGATAGTTGTCGACCTCTGAGAGTCGTGCACCTGGGGCAGCGAAGGAACTGAGAAAAAGAGACGACAGTATAGCGAGGCACAGGGGACCCCGAGCGAACAGCCCGAGGTCCCGAGGTTTATTTTCCATAATCTAATATACCTTCTACAATGATATAGATCTATAATGATTTACAGCAGGGGCTTAATAAGGCACATTCTTCCACGTACACAGGGTTAGTCAAGTGAAGCAATGGGAGTGGAGAAGGAATAAAGAAATCTGTAACTGGCTGTGATCAATTAATTGTAAACACCATTGTACTCAGACCTTAACACAGGATAAGAGAACAAAGAAGGGAATGCACAGTGTGCTTTTTACAGCTGGCTTCCCATCTGCAAAACATCTTCTGCTGGTACTTTAGAACAGACCACACACATCCCAAGGGCATTTCACTCTGATCCTTTCGGGTTATTTTTAACCCTGCAATCTCGAGTTTTCTCAGAGATCTCGGAGTCTGAACAAACATGCACCAGTGGTCGTTGTGGCGTTCTGTTTCCCACAGATAGTGGTTACTTAGGTCGGTGTGGCAGGAGTGGGATTAGTGACTAGGGGTGAGGCATGAGGCAGACTGGATGCCACTGATTTGATCTGGGAGATATTTACAAAATGGGTTTACTTTGCCAAAATTGCCAAGCGATGCATTTTTTGTTTGTGCAGTCTTCACTGGGCATTATGTCAATTAATTTTATTTAAACAGTATACATATGGGGCTTGTTTGTGTATTAATATTCATTATTTATTATTAATACTTACCCCGAGAAATTAATCTATCTGCAAACTAAAGATTGAAATTCTGTGAGTATTTAATGATACATTACTTTTATAAAACTGTTCCACTGATTGCTACCAACGATGGCTGTTTTTTTTTTAAGATTTATTTATTTATTTTAGAGAGAGAGCAAGCGGGGGAGGGGGACAGAGGGAGAGAGACAGAAGCTCAAGCAGACTCCCCGCTGAGCCTGGAGCCCGATGGGGGGGCTAGATCCCACAACCCTGAGACCATGAACTGAGCCAAAATCAAGTCAGATGCTTAACCAGCTGAGCCACCCAAGTGCCCCAGTGATGGCTGTTTTTTAAATGAACCATATCTGGGAGGGAAATTGAAGACACTGATGATTTTCATGTTCATCTGGATATACCTAACCTATGTTTTCTACTTGCATTTTACCTTGGAGAAAAATTTGTGTCTAAAATTAGTAATTACAATTCTCCAGGTAATGTTATAATATAGTAATTTAAGATCATGTGTTCTGGAGACAAACTGGCTCTAAATCTGGGTCTAAATCCACTGGTGGCTTTAATGGCTGAGCCAATTACTAGCTGAGTGAGGGGCAAGAAACTCTGCCTTGGTTTCTTTATCTATAAAAGAGGGAGAAGTTTCACAATATTAAATTAATGAAGAATGAGTAGGAAGGAACACATGCAACACTGTAGAAAATTTCTTAAAATATTGTGGCTGGTAACTGCTTTCCCCCCTTTGATCTCTACAAATAGTTCTTCACATGAAGTTCAATGCCAGACTTAGGTTTTAGACATAATTCATGTGTCATTCAATCAACATTGGTGAAATAGTCTGTTCCTGGGTGCCTTACACCTTGATACTTCCTTTTCATCTTTGGAAATGATTGCACATAAAGGCATTTTCATCCTATTTAAGCAAGTTCCTTTTATTCAAAAGTGTTCTGGTCCATAAACCTTCTCTTCTATGAGCATCTTCAGCTCAGCTGCTACCGCCTTTCCCATTTCCTACACATTCTCAAAAGAAAATTGTTTAAACTTCTAAATCCAACCATTACCACAGACATAGAAAGTTAGTTGTGGCACTAATTCCTTTAACACCTGGGGTTAACAGAAAAAACAATTATAAAACCTCCTGGCTTTCTCTAGAGTTTTAATAATAGTGGGAACAACATGTTTTTGCTTTCTTTCTTTTTTATTTATTTATTTATTTATTTTATTATTTTTTTAAAGATTATTTATTTATTCATGAGAGACAGAGAGAGAGAGAGAGGCAGAGGGAGAAGCAGGCTTCCCGCTGAGCGGGGAGCCCGATGCGGGACTCGATCCCAGGACCCCGGGATCATGACCTGAGCCGAAGGCAGATGCTTAACCATCTGAGCCATCCAGGCGCCCTTTGCTTTCTTTTTTAAAGTTCTTTTATTTCTTAAATATTTTTTCGAAAATTTTTAAATAAATTATATGTATAAGGAAGTACATAAACTGCTATGTAGAACAGCTATGATGGAACCCCCAGACTTGAACAATTTCAGAAGCTCTTATTTAAAAAAATCTTAAGAAATTTAACTTTATATATATGTATTTGTTTGATACATATATATCTGTTTGAAGACATCAGAAAGCTGTGGTAGAAGCCAGGACTTAAGGAACTGAGATCCCAGAGAGAAACAGGGCATACACAAGTAGGCTTAGACACTTGCCCCTCTTACTGCATCTGTCAACAAAACCACTCAAGAATACTGAGAAGCCAAGCAGAAGGTGGCTGATATCACAGTGGACTGTATCAGGGAGAAAAATTGGAATATACAACCAGCAACAGAGAGGGAGCCATAGGAAACACCCCAGTCTTTCTGGTAGAAGTCTTAGAGGGCTATGCCATAAGATGGAGTAAAAACCAAAATAGACCTAGTCTTATAAAGACCATAAATAAGCCTCAGTTCTGCTCAATTCTTGATTAGATTGAAGTATATTATTTAACATAATGGCTTAAAAAATAAACATTTATAATCTTAGTTTCTGTGGGTAATGCAGTATGGAGCAGTATAGCTGGGGGGTTTCGGCTCAGGATTTGTCATGAGGTTGCATTCAGGATGATGGCAGGAGCTGCAGTCATCTGAAGGCTCAACGAGGGCTGAAGGTCCTGCTTCCAAAATGGTTTACTCACATGGCTGTTGGCAGGGTGCCTCACCATGTGGGATTCTGCACAGGCTGCTTGATGTCCTCTAGTAAACTATGCTTGTTGCCATGTTAATATGGTAGTTAACTCGCCTCAGAGCAAGCAATCCAAGAGAAAGAAAGGAAGCTATGATGCTTTTTATGATCTAGTTACATATTGCCACTTTTGCCATATTCTATTTGCTGTCACTAAGTATAGCCCAAGACAAAAATTAGACTCCACTTTTTTAAAGGAAGAGTATATCAAAGAATGTGTGCCTATATTTTAAAACCATCAACAGAGGCTATGTCCCCCTCTCTGCTGCCTGCCAGAGTGTAGGGTGAATCTACTCTGATGGAAGATAACATCATTTAGAATCTCTATGATTTTCAATACACAATGTCCAAGATTCAAACAAAAAATTAGTTATAATAAGGAACAGGACAAAGATTAAAAAATAGCAAATAGAAACAGAGCTCAAAGTGACCCATAAGAAATGGATCAGAAAATAACAGTGATTAAAATGTTCAACACATGGACAACAAGATAAAGAATTTCACCAGAGAATCTCTATCTATAGAAAAGAATACAATGGCGGCCTGGGTGGCTCAGTCAGCTAAGAGTCCGACTCTTGATTTCAGCTGAGTCAGGTCATCTCAGGGTTGTGAGATCGAGCCCAGTGTCAGGCTCAGCGCTGGGTGTGGAGCCTGCTTAAGATTCCCTCTTCCCGGGCGCCTGGGTGGCTCAGTTGGTTAAGCGACTGCCTTCGGCTCAGGTCATGATCCTGGAGTCCCTGGATCGAGTCCTGCATCAGGCTCCCTGCTCGGCAGGGAGTCTGTTTCTCTCGTGCTCTCTATCTCTCATTCTCTCTCTCTCAAATAAATAAATAAAATCTTTAAAAAAAAAAAAAGATTCCTTCTTCCCTTCTCCCTTTGTCCCTCCCCCACTGCTCATGCATGTGCACGCCCTTTCTCTCTAAAACAAATAAAAAGAATAAAATGGAAAGGGGAGAACTGAAAATTAAGCAAACTGAAATTAACAATGCGATACATTTAATAGCCACTTTGATCCAGCTGAAGAGAGGATTCATAAACTGGAAAATAGGTGAGTAGAAAATATCCAGACTGAAGGATGGTATGTACAAGAAGCATGTAATTGGAATACTGAAGGGGAGAAGAGATGGAATGGTGCTGAAGGAATATCTGAAGAGATAATGGCCAAGAATTTTCCAAAGATAATGGAAGACATAAAACCAGATTCATGAAAAACTGTGAGCTACCTTAAAAAACAAACACTAAACCCAAGCCCCCACAACTAGCATCATATAGTATACCAATGAAAACCAAAAAGAAGTAGATCTTAAAATCAGAAATACATTTTCTTCAAAGAAGCCACAGTAAGACTGAAGCTAACTTTTCAACAGAAATTACAGAAATCAAAAGACATGTAATGACACCTTGAAAGTTCCAAAAGGAAATACCTACCTACAATACAATACTCATGTTAAAATATCCTTTAAAAATAAAGACAAAATGGAATTATTTCCAGACCAAAAAAACCCGACAGAATTTATCTTCAGCAAAACTAAAAAAGGAAGTAACAAAGTTCTTCAGGCATAAGGAAAATTTTCCCAGGTGGAAAGATGGAAATACAGGAAGAAATGAAGAGCAACAGGAGGGGTGAGTATGTGGATAACTCTAAATCAATAATGACTGTAACAAGACAGTGATATCATCTTGTGAGATTTAAAATAGAGCTGACCTTGACCAACAAGGGTTTGAACTGTACAGGTCCACTTACCCATGGATTTTCTTCAGTAAATAAGGTATAGTACTCTAGTGTATTTTCTCATAATTTTTACTATTTTCTTTTCTCTAGGTTACGTTATTGTAAAATACAGTAAATAATATACAGCATATACAAAATGTTTAATTGACTGTTTATGTTATCAGTAAGGCTTCCAGTCAACAGTACACTATTAATAGTTAAATTTGGGGGGAGTCAAAAGTTATGTGTGAATTTTTGACTGTGCATGGGGTCAATGCTGCATTGTTCAATGGTCAACTGTAATGTAAAATTAAAATGTGTGAAAACACAAAAGAAGGAGGGGGAGTGGTAAATGGAGTTATAAGGTTCTAAGGTCAGGCATTACCTACAAAATGGTAAAAGTAGTAATTCATATTGGATTCTTAGAGTCAAGAATCCAAATCATGATTTTTAGGATAATTTCTAAAGAAACAATGAAAGATATATAATGAACAAGGTAATGGGGAAAGAAAAAAAAAAGATTGATCCAAAAGAAGGCTAAAATAGAGACACACAGACCAAATAGGGGAAAAGGCCCATAAAATAGATGGGATA